TTAATTTAATTTAATTTAAGGTTGGACCGGGTAATAGCCGGGATCTCTGTTAAATTTATGTCAAATTTAAAATTTAACAGAGATTTAAAATTTAACAGAGATCCCGGAAAGGATTCCTCATTCAGGATCCTTTGTAACGCTAAAATATTTATTTTTTTTAACAGATGCCCTGCTTATGCGGGGCATCTGTTAAAAAAAATAAACATTTTAGCGTGACAGCATGACACAGAATCGCGCAATATTATAGGGAGATGATGTAAGCGCACATGATAATTAAATAAATATGGGTTCGATTTTACAAATCGAACCTCTACTTTTCTAATTTTTTGAGCAATAAAAGTAATAGTATCATTATACCTTGTGTTAGTTGGTAGAAGAGTGTTGCTTATTAAGAAAGAGTCAGGTATTTTGAATAGAGAAAGAAGTTGGAAGTAAAGCGATATTGTTTGTTATATACATTCATTAACCTCACTACAGTTAGTGCTTTGAATTTTGTGTGATTTTTTTATAACTAGCCTTTTAAATAAGTTTTACGCATCCTTTATTTTTTTTTTAATTGCCTATGGTGATTTTTTTTTTTTAAATCACTTGTGATTGTTTTTTTTGCTGAACATTCGTCAAAGTTATTTTAAAGCCTTTTGCCTAGTAATTATAATGTCAACTCTATTTACTCCTTGTGATGAAGAATATGAATCAAGACTTGATGTGGAATATGAGTTAAGGCTTGATGAGGAAGATGAACCAGGGCTTAATGAGTAATATAAACCAAGGCTTAATGAGGAATATGAACCAGAATCACAATTATATGAATCTGAACGAACATCACAATTAGATGAATCTGAACCAACAACACAAGAATTGAATAGTAGCAGTAATGAATATACATATACTAGGTATATATATTTAAATTAAATAGTATTATTGTTTAATATGTCATTTAATATTTCTTATCAATAGTTTATTTCATAGATCTTTCATATGGAAGTATTTCAAAAAAGAATAAACCTGTGCGATTTGTGATATCTGTAATAAAAAGTTAACATACCAGCAGGGAATGATGTCAAATCTTAAAAGGCATCTTAATATTCATAAGAATAAAATACCTGAATTAAAAAAATTAAATGTAAAAGAAGGCATCTCAAGCATCTCTATTGTAAATATATTGAATAATAAACAAGGTGTAAGTTTTTAATATTAATAGTTAATAAAAGAAAAAGAAAAACTAATATAAAGCAAAAATATTTATATTAGATTAATAACTATCTACGTAAACCTTTCAACAAAGAAAAATTTATTGATATAATCAAACACTGGATTGTAAAGAAAAATCAGCCATTTTAAATTATTGAAAATGCTGAACTTCAGTCAATATTTGCATATCTAGAACCTAATGCAATGGGTATAATTATTTAATACTATATCATTAATTAGAAGATTGTAGTTATTTGTTTTAAAAAATTTATACAATATAAATATTTTGATATATATATATAGCACCTTCAGCTGATCTAATCAAATGATATATTATGCGCAATTTTACTGATAAACATTAGATCATCCAAATCAGCCTAGTAGATAGTAAGATATTGTCGAAATATGACTATATGCTACTATGTGAAAAACTGCAAGAAATTCCTGGTAATATCATACTAACAACTGATATATAGACAACTGATACTATTAACAAGTTCTTTATGTAAGTTACTATTCACTATATTAATGCCTCATGGCAAATGAAATATATTTTACTAGACATTATTTATATGAGTGAGTCACATACAGGAATTGCAATTTCAAATGCGATGAAGAATTATCTTAATTCAATAGGACTTATTACAAAAGTCATGGCTATTATACACAATAATGCGTCATTTAATAACAAGTTTTTACAGCTATTTGTTGATTTTTTATCATAAGATGGCCTTCAATTTGATAGTACTCAACAATCAATATAGTGCTTTGGCCATATCTTAAACCTAGCTGTGCAAAGAATGTTAAGCTATATTGGATCTGAATTAGAAAAGGTTTGATTTAATATTATTGAATTATTAATTTAAACTATAAACCTTAAAATGAATTTATTATACAAAAATTTTTTAGCTACGTTTATTAATTAGAAGTATTAGAGCATTATCTAATCATCATAAAAGGTTAAAAATAACTTGTCAAATACTTAAAATAAATTTATTAAAACCAATTCTTGATGTTTCTACTCAGTGAAATTCTACCTTCAACATGTGTGAAAGAGCAGTTATATTGCTACTGGTATTAGATTCTATTGCATTAGCTGAAGTGAACTTGCGGGAATATATTCTTGATGATGATGAATGAGAAAATATAAAACTTTTTATTAAAGTTTTGCAACCATTTAAAGAGGGTTAGTTTATAACTATATTAGTTATATTTTAATTCAAAATTTTATTAAAAATAAAAATATTATCTATAATTTAATTAACAACAGTTATTATATCATCACCCAATTATCCAATATTAGTGATGGTTGTTTCACTTTATCACATGTTACTTGAAACACTCAAGAAAATCTAACAAATAAATAATATACTACAATATCTTATACAAGGATGTGAAACAGCAACTATCAAGCTTTTAGATTATTGTCACAAAATGAATATACTATATCTTGCAGCAATAATTCTAGATCCACAACTCAAATTTCAGTATTTTGAAAAAATTGGATAGTTATTGCAGCTTATTTCTCAAATTAAAGATATGTTAATTTATAATTGTAATATAAAATATGTATAAAATATATAATAAAGATTATAATATTAATACATATATTAATTATAGAATCAAAAATAAATATGAAAGCCAATATGCACCTATTCCTAGTTGAAATGTAGAAGAACTGACCACTGAACTATTTACAACCAATATAATATCACAGATTTATAAAAGAGCATGTATAGAACAGCAAAGTGAGCCTGACATATATTTTATGTTACCACGTGCAGATTCTCAAATAAATATTTTAGAATGATGGCGAGTAAATGAAGCTTGTTATCCAAACCTTGCAAAATTTGCTAGAGATTGTCTTCCGATACCGGCAACAAGCATTTCAAATAAACAAATATTTAGCATTAGTGGTGATATGGTAACTAAAAAATGAAATAGATTATCTGAAAAAACAATTAGAATGGCAATGTGTTTAAAATCATGGTAGAAAGAATTAAAGAATTAAATTTATGTATATGATTTAAATAATATCAGATAAAGTATATGATGCAGCTTTATTAAAATATAAATTATGTAAAATTTAAAATAAATTTGCTTGAAGGGTGTGGCGACTTAGTGAAGTGGTGAAGTTGTCGCACCCCCAAGCGTTGAGTACAAGTTCAATTCTCACTGGAGACGAAAATTGAATTTCGAAAAACGGATTCGGTAACTAACGTCGTGGCCGGGAAAACTCGAGACCCTGTA